AAAAAAAAAAAAAAAAAAAAAAAAAAAAAAAAAAAAAAAAAAAAAAAATCAAATGATTATTTCTTTGTTGTTATACATGTACGTGTTTCATCGAATAAACGGCACGAGGGTGCATGTCTTTTCTTTTTAACCAAGTCATTTTTGTTTCCCCGTATACCTATGGGCAATTGAAAGCAATATGTGTAGGGATGTCATAGCACACCTCAACCGATGGACACGCTCGAGAATGCACTGGCTTGTCCGATGGAATTGTTGGCTACGCAGTGATAGGTGCCGACGTGATGCTGCCTCAGGTGTTCCAGTTGGAGCCAAGAGGTTCGCATCAGGGTGTTGTTATTCATGCTGTTGTTAACCACCGCGTCATCCAGCTCGTCATCTGTGATTCAACAAACCACGCAAATGTCTTATATACTATTTGTCAATTTTTGTCGTTGGCAATGGATCAGATATTGACTGTCCCAAGTGGACAATTATTCAATGTTGGAAAAACTCACAAGGTAGCCTGAGCACGCGTTCGCCATCGGCGGAGTGGAACTCCCAGAAGACGTCGGGCAGGGGAAAGCCCTTGGCCTCGCAGCCCAGCGCGACCAAGTGGTTCAGGACTCCGGCTACGTTCTCGGGGGCTGAGTAAATGACCGGGTGATGGGGACAGGGTCCCGGGTGCTGGAGATGCAAGTAGTCCGAGTAGTAGCGCTTCGATTGCTCGTAAAGGACGCAGGACGTCGCGTAGGTCCGATTGTTACTGCCGCAGACCGGACCCTCCTCCGGGCAGACGCACGTCGCCTCGGGTATATCCTTTTCACCGATTCATACCTTAATTCATTTTCAAACAGCACATCCCACATTTTCTCGCATACAATTATTTGGCCATGCGACGCGGTAAATCCGCGTATTTATTTGCCCACTTGTGAATACGAGGATACACCGAGAGGTGCTCCGTATACAGGTCTTTGTGTTGTATGTACTACGGTGACGGTATCGCCGATATGCGAGGCACGTATCGTTATAATAAACCGTGGATAATATACGTACGCGTACGAAATCTCACCCGATACCTTGAGAGGGAGATGACTCAGAAAATGCACTTTCTGCGAAGCAATTCATGACACGCGATGTTTTTGCAAGAATAATCGTTGAGCGGCGATAAGACTCAATTATTTGTAATCAGCTGGAACTCGGTCAAGCCTCCATTTCCGCGGCACCGCCGTAAACTGTCATTCGTCGGTGCAAGTGCTGGAATGACGTAAAATCCGGCTATCCGCGGGAAAAAAGCGCAATCAGGCTCGGTCGTGCTCTCCGTTGAGTTACCGCGAAGCCGCTTGATTGCATGATTGCGCCCGTTAGAGAGCGCCGAGTTTACGTGTGCACTGCGAGTGTCAGTGACAACCAGAAATGGACAATGCGTTGTCGAAAGACGAGGGGTTTGCCGAAATCGCGTGAGACGATTTTTCAAGCGATTTTTTAGATGGAAGAGGTTTTTCTCTACAAACTCACGCGTAGGCACACATTTATCGACGTAGTGTCAAGAATCTACAAGAATATTTTTTTTTAATTGCTAATATTTTATTTGAGGCGCGAAGATTTTGACCATACTTCCAGGACTATGAAAAGATTCATTGATGCAAATTAAGAAACAAGTAACACCCCTTTTTTCAAGCCCTTCTGTCGAAACGTACTTTACTTTTAACGAATTTTGTAATTGTTGAGTAAAAAATTTGAAAACTATTGAATTTTGGCAAAAGAAGCTTAACAGTCCCAAACTGATCTCACAATTTGAAAAAAAAAAAATAATAATAATAATAATTAACAATAAACCGCAAAAAGCTCGAAAACACCCAGTGTATGACTCGTTAATTAGTTTTTTCGTAACGATTGTTTTTATTTTTTCTTAATTATTTGTCCTGAAGCGGTATAATTGTACCTCTGGCTCAAGATCGTCCCTCAACTGGCACTCGTAACGGGAAGCGCACAGGCCCTCGTTGCGCCTCCAATTGGGTAGTTCGTGGATCATGGGGTTCCAGCAGGACTCCCCGAGCGTCCGAGCGCACACGCCTTGACTGCAGCAGCCGCATATGTCCATCGTCGTGCCCAACAGACATTCACTTGGGTCCGACGGACATCTACAAACCATTACATTTTGCATCCCGGTTTTAAATGCGAATTGGGCTTGATTGTGGCTTTTTAATGGGCAAACAAATGCCAGTGCTGAAAATTTATTGTTTGCGCAATCATCGGCCAATGGACGAACGAGTTATTTAATCAAACACTTTTTGCGCAGATTAACAATCAAAGCAACTGTCCACGAAAGCTTTACGCGTGTGTTATGTATACACTCGACGACGCGCTCAATTTATTTTACATCATTTGTGAATTTTGTAAACATTGGATTTTCAGCGATGACGCGCGCATCGAAGACACTTTATTTAAATTTGAACTCGAGAAATTAATGCCACCGATAAATCATTCAATTTTCAACCACACATACCACCCAGCATTAAAAACGAGCTTTTAAAAAAGAAAGGTCTGTTATTTTTTTCCAAAAAAAAAAAAAAAAAAAAAAAAAAAAAAAAAAAAAAAAATGATATTGAAAATGTCTAAAAAACACTCGACGTGTCCTTTCGCTCCACTCTATAAAATTAAAGGGGAAAAAAAAAAAAATTGTTATGACCTGTACTCAGCACACGAGTAGCAGCCTTCGGCGTGAATGTCCGTCTCCGCAAGCTCGCCCGTGCCGGAAGCCAAAGCTACGGCCACCAGCAGCAACGTCGACACGAGATACATCTCCGTCGGTGTCATTTCGCAGACTGAAGCTTCATAGACCCACTTGTATTTCTTACGTACTTTCTTGCACAAGACGCGTAACTTGAAAAAAAAAAAAAAAAAAAAAAAAAATACATCATGAACGTTGACTCTGTCTCGGTACAGAGAAGCCAAGGCGTACGCGCGTGAGCTGCGCAGTGGATGGCAAACTTGAGCTTTCTTGGGACTTGTAAACAATTTTTTTTTCTCCTAGCTCCAAGCGATTTTTTTATACTTTGCATAATACGATTGCCATTTTCTGAAAGTAGTCATCAAGAGCTGGCATGATCAAGTATCAGTTAAAGTCCATTAAATCCACGTTTCGCCCTTAACGCTTTACATCACGGAAAATATTCGATCGGGGAAAAAGACAGGCGACAACGAAAAAACGTCGTGACTACGTATGTGTTGTTAATCCGTTAGCTAAGGAGTTTCACAATTTGGAGGAGATAAAAAGCTACTCGTGCAACGCAGCGCGTACCATCCAGATGACGACGCAAGAGCAGGAAGTAAAATCGTGATGAATGAATACATTATACTACGAACTTTGTACAGCTCTCTCTCTACTCGAAATGTTTATTTTTGCTTCCTTGTGAAAACGTGTCTGACAATTTCATTCAAGACGTATGACAAGTACTGCAGTTCTTGAAAAATAATCGACATTTTTACGTTTACAGCTATAAATAATCATTTGATCGATTTTAATATTACAAGCTCTGAATTCGTCAATCGTCCATGTGGCGTTGTAATTTCAACAATGCCTCGTTACGCAGAGTATGAAAACAAAATTCATTCGTACCTACAATCCTCGTGATAGTACCTATGTACAGTGAAAATAAATAAAAAACTTTGACGTGGATGGAGTTTCGTTGAGTTTTTTTCCTCCCTCGTATTTAATTGAACGGACAATTGTGCCCGATTGTTTTCACCAAAAGTGACATTTAAAATCGTTACCATTAAATTTTTCGAAATTGAAAATTTGGAAATCCTCCCGTGAAGTACAAAAGCTTCGGGCGAAGAGCCAACATCGGGTCTCAAAATTATCACTGAAGTGCACACACGGTACAGGGAGACTGTGCGCCTAATTAGTTTCCAATTAAACGGCAATAGTTTTAATTGGTATGGCAATTAACGAACCATCTCAAGCGCAAATGCGCTTATTTTTCTTAATCCGAGTTAAAATTAAACCATATAATGTATCCGTAATGTATATGCACCTACAAGTTACACGAGCGAGTTCCCAAAAAGTATTTTTTTTTTTTTTTTTTTTTGACATATTTGAATAAAAAATTAAAAAATTCTTTCGGACCCATCACCTTTGAATCTAAAATTTTATTCAAAAAAAGTCCCGATGAAGCGTTTTTTGCACAACCTTGATGTATCCCCCGATACAAGTTAAAATTATTTTCAAGCCCATCGAAAACGAAAGCTCCCAACGAAGCGCACCTAAATCGAACTTCCTTTCACACGCGTGCCATCGGACAGAAAGAAGCGCTACTGGTCTGCGGGAGCTGATCGGAGGTCGAAAATACCACAGCCGATAACGTCACCGAACGCTACTCCGGAGCCTACAACATACCGTACATATTTTATTTATTTTTTTTTCTTTTTATATACCGCGTCGTCACCGTTTTATACGCTTACAACGTTAATCAATGAATTATCAATTGAAGTGTATATTTTTTTTTATGACGATAAAATTAACAAATTGCGTGGAGGTGCACACATAGAGGAGGGAAAAGCTTTGAATTATTTTTAATCGAGATATTTCGAGCGGGTGAGCACACGCTGTACTACTTAACTTTTATGTCATTTTTGGCGATCGAAAAATTTCTTTTTGCCAATCGTCCGTGTATCGCGTGTACCTACGTAGATACTGTCTACGTACGCACCTACCAGGCCGTATTCACGGGTCGTGAAACACTTTGGCTCGAGCCTCGAAAAGTCCATTAAGCATTCAAATAAATTTCAAACGAAAGCTCATCCCCGAGAGGATGTGTCTCAATCGATCTCGCGATGTCGCTTTTGACAAAAGTTTATTTACCTACTTGAGCAAATTTAATAATAGTATAGCACTAATTTTGAGGTTCTCGACTCACGAGGAAATTCGAGATGCAATAGTGCAACGATTTAATATGTTTTTACTTAATTGTTATTATTATTATTATTATTATTATTGTTATTATTATTATACCTACCTGTCAATGCATATTACATGATATGTACCTGCAAATCATTATTGTTGAAAATTGCCAAGTTATATTAATAATTGCACTACTTTATAACCATAAATTCTAAGGATAAAATATAGTAACATTCGTACATTGATATTCGAGGTTCTGTAATTATTTCAACCTATGTACGCTCTACCAGCAACCCCATCCTCCTCTCAGGTGGGGGATTAATTTTTTGTCGTTAAAGGACCCAGCACCGAGAATTGAATTCGTCAAGGCCAAAGTTCGAGTTTGAGTCGATCATATTCGAAAAGCTGTGGGGAGCCTCGGTTTTTTACGAAAATCTATGCGTCACACCTCTCAGTCTAAAGTCTGGCAGAAGCGTACAACAGGTTCGACAAACTTCGAGGTCACTCGATGTTAAATCTGAAATTACTCGACCGTATGGATGTGTATTAATGAGAAAAAAATTATTTTCCTGGACGAATCTCATTTTTGATGGAAAAAAAAAAAAAAAAAAAAACCTACTCGAGCATAATTATATCAGTTGTACGAAGGAGTTTGCTCAATGGCCATTTTATGACCCGAGGTTGGGGCCGAATTCCAAGTTTTTTCAACCCCCGCGCTACTGAGTCGGTGGACAATTGGGGCCAAGGGATGGCATATTCGTAGCACCATCAACACGATGGGTATCAATGGAGACGTCTGTCAATGTATTCACGTGGGCTAATGTATTATGTGTCAAATCCAAAATGTCACAATGGATTTATCGGCTTTGGAGGCTGTAATGCACCCGGAAATAATTGGAGCTTAATTGTTTTTAACGTGTCGGTCCACTGATAAAATATGTACGAATAACGCCGCACAGCACCGATAAACGCGTCACAAGCCGAGTGAAAGCAACACTAGCAAGTGCACTTTCTGCAAATTCCCTTTGTGCCAACGCGCCATTGTTCTCGCCAACACGCGTGGCAAGTTTATGTTTTCCTTCTTTTTCTGGGATTTCAGGCCAGTCCAAGGAATCACAGAGGAATTTTTCGATATTTGTTCCGTGACGAAACTCTACGACGAAGAGCGCCTATTATTTGAAATAGCACCTTAGCACGACACGAGAAAAATAAAAAAAATGAAGTACCCGTAAAAGCATGTTGTAAGTACATGTAGCGGAAAATTGAGGGGGGGCCTCTGTGCGAGTAATTCCCTTGACGGTCCCAAAGGATGCATCCTTCACAGAGAGGCAGACACCTCAGATTACTTTGGGACTAGTAGTATATGGGCAATTAATTAATTTTTTTTTTTTTTTTGTCATTTCTTAACACACATAAAACCGACAGAAAGTGATAAATTTGCTCTTACGAGCCCGTAGGTTTTACATTTGTATTCAATGGTAAATGTAACGTTAATTTCGCGTGACAGCCCAGACGGGTATTCCGTTCCTGTAACACGATATAAATCGGAATACAACGCGAGCGCATGTTTAATAAAATACATCGCGCGTAGGTACAAGCAGCGTGTGTATGTGGGGTTTGTTCGCGTAAGCCTGACGTTGTACATATATATATACATGTACGTGACAGTTGGTGCGTGTATGTGCCTAATATGCGCTAATTTTGTCGGTAGTAGGGAAACTGGGCTAAATTAAAGTGAAAATAGTTTAGCTCGTGTCGTGAAATTCGACGATCGCGCGATTCGTGTACAATTAGAATTTTTGCCATCAAATTTTCACAATATTCGTAAAAAATGGTCCTGCAAACGTATAGGTAAACGACCCACGCATCAGTATGCAATTGTTGTTGAAAATTGATGAATAAGTTTTTTTCTCCAAAATGTAGTTCACAGAGTTTCAATGTGCTTGTTTGTTTGTTTCAGACAAACATATATATATATGTGATATGATAATATATTATATCATAAGGGCTTACCTAATTTAAGATAATTGACTCGGAAAGGCAAATTGCCAGGAAGTCACGGACAAGGCAAAGTGTCCCGTACAAGTACGTATGTATACTACACGTCGCGTGATGAAATTTCATACAACGAGTGTATCGAACCAACTTTTCTTTTTCCGTATTTGTGAGAACAATTATTCTTTGCCTTCATACGTACGAAATAAATGTCATTTCTGTACGTATAAATAGAATCTGTAACATAATTGAAAAAAAAAAAACAAAAAAAAACAAAAAAAACAAAACATTCATCACGCAGATTAAACAGGTTTAGTTTAATTTAGTTGTATTTTTCGGCTTGATGATACTTGTCTTGTGACATTTTTGTGACTAGATAAATTTTATTTCACTGTAATTAATATGTTAATGGCCAATTGTAAATAAAAAAACGATGCGGTGGTTTAAAAACTGTCATTGTCATATAAAAAAAAAAAAAAAAAAAAAAATTAATATTCTCATTGTGCATGAAAACAGAAGGAAACTTGACCAAGCCATTCGATTAATCTCCACTCGCTTCATCCCAACAAATTTACCTTATCTATTGACGATGGTCCCACCGCGCATATGAATAATTAGAAGAAAACGCCGACGACGAAATATTCTTCACTTCATCGCACCGCATTATATGTAAAGTATATTCTATTTTTGATGATTAATTACTTTGCTCACCGCGAAGGCACGCGCGTGTGTGTGTGTGTGTGCGTGTAACGCAAGGCCAAAACACACGATTAGATTATCGCCAAGGTCTTGCTTTCTCTCTCTCTCGCTGGCGCAGCTCAATATATTCGTTTTCCACTTTGATGATAAATTACCTGTTGTTATATAGCCAACGGAGACATGATTCGTTGTGTAAAGTATGTGCACACTCGCGTCATCGCTGGCATTTATTCGCTTCCTCCGAACACCACATTTTCGTAAACAACTATCTGTTTTCGTTTGCAAAAAAAAAGTCCTACATAAATGATAAAACTGTCACCTCTAAGTTTTATCTTGCACTCTACCGAAAATAATGCCCAAGTGCTACATTTTACCCGTTAGCCAAATTGGTACCACATTCATTTATAAATTCGTATTCGTTTCCTTCGAACACGTCCGCCAAAGGAAGCTTTATTTTAAAAACTCGCGCTCGAGAGACGAGAGTGCGCGCGCATAGGAAGAGACATAGTGGGGAGAGAGAGAGAGAGAGAGTTCAGGATTGTCAGGAACTCAGGAAAAGTTACATGAAGAAACATAACCTCCTTGACCGGCAAACGCAGGCAACCAGGCAAACGTGTGTCTGCGCGTGGGGGGCGAGCGCGAGCGGGCGAGAGATAAGTGTGTCTGCTGGTCGTCTCGTCTTCTCCAATCCTCATCCTCTCGTCGTCACGTCAGTCTTGTCTACCTTGGGTAAATAAGTCAGGTCGGCCTCGGTGCGTGTGTGTTTTCGTTCGTCCAACAACTGCGTGCATGTACCTTGTTGAAAAAAAAAGAGTTTGCAAAGCCGGGGTGTGTGTGGTTTAATTAATTTAATATTCAAGGAAAGAAAGAGAGCCTCGTCGTCGTCGGCCACCAGCAAGATCCGCAAAGATAAGGGACCGGCAGAGAGAGGCATAAAGAATCTACGTGATTCATTTTAATAGCACCATACATGCATATCTAAGCCAGCGTGTGTATATACACGTCCGTGTCGCCTACACCTGGCTGGCTGGCTGCAGAGTGTTACAGCTTACAGCGCAAAGGAGAGAGAAAGAAGAGGTGGAGTTGGTTGCGCGTCGTTGGATTTGATATGTGCAATGTACGTATTCTATGTACCCAGTTCGTGGTGCGTACTTAGTTATACTGTTGCAGATATCCGGCTTGAGCCGAATGTCGGCGCAGCCTCAACCTCCTGGATTTTTTATTTCTTGACTCTTTTTATTTTTTTGTTTATTACAACAGTAAGAAAAAGAAGGCGCTTGCATGTACGTCAACGTTTGGAGGACTGCTGGTGACAGCATATTCATGCCTAATACGACAGGACAGACAGCCGGGACAGTAGTTACAGCAATGACAACAGTTGCAGAGGAGGAGGAAAGAGAGGAAGGGTTGTAAGCAGTGGCTGCTGCAAATTTTTGGAGATGCTGCTTGATTGAGTACATTCAACAGGAGAAATCACTACCAGCAGAGGAAACTAGTCAGAGCAGAGGTAGCACAGTGACCGATGAGAGAGAAAGAGTGCATAGTGCTGTCCGTGAACTGTCATGATAATGATGATGATGAAGAAGGAGCAAAGGAGATAGAAGAGACAGATAGCTGTCGTTGTGCCGCCACTGAAGCGAGACTGTGTGTGTGTGGGTGTGGATATTACACACGCACGCAAACGGCACAAGTGTATGCATACATGTGTAAAGACAGAAGAGATACATACACACTGCAGAGGAGTGGATATATAGGAGCAAGAGAAAAAGAGAGAAGGGTAAGTCGTCAGGGAATTAATATTATTACCCATAGAATAGGCCCTAGCTCTTTCTCTCTCTCTCTCTCTCTCTCTCTCTCGTACACAGGAAAGCATCGATTTTCAAATCACGTTTGGCTTAGGTGAACATACACATCAGCTCGTTTGAAGACCTATGAAGAACAAAAAGAACTGAACACATGCATATAGAATTTTGCCATCTTCCCCGCCCCTTTTGGCATATCATATCATCCTTCTCATCACCAATTGTGTTTTCTTATCTTTCTTTTTTTTTATTCATTTTGTATATCCAATAGACTAGAGGATGTGTGGGTGAGCTTGATTGTGTGTCTTCTGACTTTGGAGGTACCGTACACCATTCATGATTTAAATGGCCTCAATTGTTCATGTATTAGGTTCGATGAGGTGTCCAATATAGTAGCTTTAATAAGCTTGTCACGTTTGGCTTGTATATGTATATTAATATTCAAGTTGACTTTCATTGTAATATGCTGTAGGAAAGGAAAAAAAATTTTTGTCAGCAGATGGTCACTCTGAGAGTAATTGATTTTTTAATCAGTTCCAATAGTTTGTGTTGTGATCAAATGATTTTAAATAGCAACTACAATAAGATATTGTTTCTGCAAATCTACTAATCAAGCCTCTAAAATAAATTTTGAAAGTGTGAAAAAGGCTAGTATGTGAAATTGAATTAGTAAAAGTATTGTACTTTCCAGAATTCAAAGAAAGTTGAAATTTCATAATTTCCCTTAGAATTGCATTTGCACAAATTTGATTTTGGTTTCCAAGCAAAAAGCGGATCTCTTCAAATTAAGGTGTGAAGTTTTCAGCTTAGCATCAATAATAGAGATTGTTCTGTGGCTTTTGCTTGTGGTTTTGCTGTTGTAAAATAAGTAGTGACAAGCTGCAATTTTTGTGGTCAATTATATCATTACACTTATATGGTGTGGATAGTGCAGTTAATAAAAATTGAAGGCTACATACAAAACTTTGTGTAAAGGCACTTCAGGTAACAAAATATGATTAGTGAATAGGTTCTTGCTTACAGTTACATATAAAAATTTGAATTATGTATGTTTCTGTTATCAGTTTTGAACTTTCTGTCATCCATTGTATTATACTCTATTACTTTATTAAAATTCTTATAAGGTTTGTATTGTTTAGTGTAATCAACTGAACATACAAACTGAAATAATTCTTGTATGATAGGTTATGTTTGTTAAAAATTAAGTTAGAATATTAATCTTGACATACTTTAGGTAAATGGTAAAACATATTTATATTTTCTAACTAGATACTATTTAATACTTTACAAGAAAGTTTATTTATACAATCAAGCTCTTAAGAGCTATGCTTGAATATTGAAACTTAAGATAACCTTATAAATTAATTTCTTCAAATTTTAATTAGCCTTCTCTTGTCACAAATTAGCCTGAAATACGTGTAATGTTAGAAAAAATTACTTATCTTGTATAAGTAATCGAATATCTTTAGTGAATCATTTCATAAAACTCTAAAAACACTTATATGATTCACATTCATTTTACAGAAGATTCATAGCTATTATCGCACAAATTACTTTTGTCATTGTAATCACTACAAATGTTACATAGACAAGTTCTTCAGAATGATCAGTCGATTGACTTGTATATACTCCAAATCATTTTCATATGATTACATGTTTACCATCAAGTAATAAAAATCACATGATTCTATTTTCAATTTTAGAAAACTGGACCGTCCCAGAATTGAGAGTCCACGAGATAAGGTGCTCGCGCTGAGCCTAGGCGCACTTGGATCTCAGCGTCATGTCTGGCCTACTATGCGCTCGAGAGGATCAGGCAAACAAGCGAGTAGCCTGTTATTATCTCCAACAACGAGTGAGCGACCCCGTCATAAAACGAAACTCCCACCAGCCGGTAGTAGCAGTAGCAGCAGCTCACTCCCAGCATTTTTGTCGTCGTGGAGCCTTCCTTTTCAATTCGACAATCATCTCGTGTTAATAAGCTGAGTCGCAGCTAAGGCGAGATGGCCGACAACGCCATCAGAAAGCCGGCGCACAAGCATGCTTCGTCGCCGGCCGATCACAACGCCAGTCCAGCAGCTGCCACTGTTCATCCGGGACAAATGCCCGCCCGCAAAATATCCGCACCCGTGCACCGTACCACGACCGAGACGATACGTATCAGCGAACCGATCGACAATTTTGGTGAGCGACTCAATTCCTTTTACCTTTTGTTGTTGAGATTCAATAAATTATATGAAACCGTGACGTTGATGGTTGTAGGCAAAGGCCAGCATCACCACCATCATCATGGCCAGTCGTTGGGCTCGATACCGATGACCACGGCAAGCTCAACGTCCAACAATCCAAACACGGGTGCCGCAATCGCCCAAAACCGTACGAAGAAGACGTCGTCGTTTCAGATAACGAGTGTCACAGTGGGCTGCAGGATGAGCAACGACGCGGGCGAGGACTCGAACGACGATCTCGACGAGTCACATACAGAGGACAACAGTGTCGAGCACTCGCGGATCACGGATATCGAGACGCCGAGCTACTCCGAGGACACCTTCTCCAAGGACGACGTCTTCTTTAACGCGAGCAATGCCGCTTTGAGCACGGCGCCAGTCATACCGACGAGTTCGCAGTACGGCTTGGCAATCGTGCCATCGTCTGAGGCTAACATTACGAGCAACTCAACGAACGAAAACAACATCAACACACTGGACATAGCCTCGGTCACGGACAATAACATCATCAATTTGCTGTCAAGCAGCACTAAGCAGGACGCCGATTTGCGAGAGGTCCACTCGCACGGTAGGAACGAGAGGTTCAAGGTCGTCAAGATCGAAAGCACGGAGCCTTTCAAGCGCGGACGGTGGACCTGCATGGACTATTTGGATCATACCTCGGTCAATCAGTCGACGACTACAAAAGTGCCCGACCCGAACGAAGTTTGCATATCGTACGGAGTCACTGATGCGGGTATCGTCGTACCCGAGATTGTAAACAAGGTCGTTGACGACATGGCTGGCATGAGCATCGATGCGAATGGACCTATGCACCCTGAAGTGCAACAACAACAACAGCAGCAGCAGCAGCAGCAGCAGCAGCAGCAGCATCCAGGTACGCAGTCATTGGGTGCTGCTTCTGCTGCTGGCTATGCGCCGGTGCCCACGCAACAGCAGCCTCAGCAGGTACCGCCCCAGTACTACCAGGCCTCGGCGACTCAGGCGCAACAGCAACAGACTCAGGGTACAACGTTGCCGGCTAATCTACAGTCAGCCCACCCGAACAGTATGGCACAGACGCAAAGCATGCCCCAGGGTACTATTCCGATACTCACCCAACAGACATGGTAAGATCTAATTTTCTTGAATAAAAAATCATAGCTAAAGAAAGTTTACGATGCTTATGAAAACTTTGAAATTTTCAGTCCTGCAACGCAAACGAATAACATGCCAACGCAGCAGCAGACGATCACGCATCCTCAGACAGACGAGACGACGACGTACGTACCGGTGAATTCACAAGCGCAATCGATGGGCCCACCGCCGCAAGCTCAAAACGTATGCCAACAAGCAACGAGTGTCGCGCCCTCCCAGCCTCCGCCAAACATACTCGTACCGCAGTCACAGCAACAATCCCAGCAAGCACCGCCGCCCACGTCACAACCTCAAGCGACGCAACAGCAGCAGATCCCCGAACAAATGCAAGCCGCTATGCAAAACATGCAGAGCTTGCAAGGTATCCACAAAGTTCCTCAGTCCAGTGGTCCCCCACCACCCCAACAGCAGCAACAACCCCAACAGTCACAACAGCTACAGCCTCAAGTATGTTTTATTGCTGAAAAGTTTATTCATTTGGCTAAGATGAATAATCAATTTTTATTCGCTAACCATATACTCGGCGAATAAATACGAATACTGAAAATATAAGTTTAATTGTACACAGGTGATGTCGACAAACGCTCAGATGCAGTCAACGCAGCAACAACAGCAGCCTCAGACACAGCAACAACAAACGGCTACTGGAACATCAGCCCAGGTGCAGATGGTCGGTGGTATGCAACAGGGTAACATAGCATTCCATCAACAGCAGCAACAACCAGTTGAATCCGATCAAGATTCGATGGCGAATATGATGGTCGCTGGTGCCTTGGCAGCTGCGGCTACTGACGCCGCACTTCTTGAGTCTCTGGCGGAAGTTACTCAAAATGCCGATGACCATCAAGCGCATGATGATAATGAGAGGTATTTGAGTGTTGATTTTTACTCTTCAAACGTTAGGATTCATTCCCTGAATTTGACAAATACAACAGTTTCATAAGATTTTTTCTTAAATCTTATACTTAATTTAAAAAATCTTGAAAAGAAACGTTTGGATGACATGAAATAGATTGACAATTCAATTTTTTATTTTAATAAACTTTAATCTTTTCGTAAAGTTGTATAATACAGTACTAAGAATCTTTAGTTATTTTGGTTATCATTATCTATATGCAACACTGAATTTCAAAATAAAACTGAAACCTCTAGTTTAAAAATAAAACTGTAGCATTTGTCATCGTATGTTGAATTAAAACATGTTATTAATTATATGAATAGCTGTGTTATACTTTTAACTTAAAAATCAAAAAATTGTATAATAGACTTTTTTATTATTATTTAATTACTTGACAAAATATTTCATTTCATATAGTAGTTCATTTAAATCTGCCACATGGACTTTCATAAAATAATAGGCAGAAAGAGATCGAAGACCTTCAATTTATTTGTACAGTAATACATATTCATTTGTTTCTCGTATTTGTATTTTATTTAATTAGTAAAATCCGTGGTTTTAACATGTCTTTCCATGACTGTAGCATTCGTTTTGTATGTATCTATGTATTTATATATTTTTAATTACAGCATGTCAGGGACCAGTGCAGTAGCGATTGACAATAAAATCGAGCAAGCAATGGTAAGCACTTTTTGTTGCACGAATTCCTTAATTTATATTTTTGTAAGTTTATAAACCAAAATACTTTAATAAAATACAATATCACCATGTTCAACGATCTTAGTAAGGACATCAAGTACGTTATCTGAAATTGCCTTATGTAATATTTTACGATTAATATTGTCTTTAACGATAAGACATTTAACACATTTTTTTGGCTCAAATGAGGTATAGAGACAACCGTTTATACTTATATACATCATGTGTACATTCTACATACCCTTGCCAACATATGTACTTAAAGATCCAAAGAGGATATAATGAAAAGCCAAGCCATAAAAAAACTATGTAAAACCAAGAAATGAATATTGTTTCGTTCGTTGCAGGATTTAGTAAAAAGTCACTTGATGTTCGCGGTGCGGGAAGAGGTCGAGGTGCTGAAAGAAAAAATTGCAGAGCTCATGGACCGCATCAATCAGCTAGAGGCGGAGAATTCAATCTTGAAGGCTCACGCCACACCCGAGACTCTGGCCCAGCTGAGCCAATCTGCCGCTGCTGCAGCCGCAGCCGCTACTGCTGCAACGACCAAGTTGCCCACTATCAATAATTCCGGAGGTGGTCAATAGGTATATAAATAATATAAATGAAACGCGAATTAAAATTTTTAAAAAACGCTTGTACATAAATAAAAACAAAAGTAAAAAAAAAGAAGTGAAGGAAAAAAAAATTCAACTGATTCACCTCGTGAAAGATTTATACACACCACCTCTGGCATCACAAACTCTCCCGTCGTCGATAATACGTCACACACACACACACACACTCGCATACAATTGATTTAATATATAACTATTGTACATAACTTAATCGACTTTTTAGAATTTATAAATAATGAGATTTATTACATTGTATATTTATGATGGTAAGTTTTCTTTCTTCTTTCTCTTACTTTTGCCTTTTTGAAAAAATAAGGATATAAAAACCGATAAAAGAATAAGAGCACTACGCGTTATGTGATCGAGCAAATTAAAGCGATTCTTCAGCGAATGTATAGTTGATATTTTATACTGTTTGTTTAGTTTCGTTTAAATTATAGGCTAATAAAACTGTATGCTTAATAAAAATGATTTCGAAGTATTATATTAAATTTTTTTAGATCAGCTCTGTTTTTATAATCGTTATATTTGTTTCGTCTTTTCGATGTGATAAAAAAAATAAATAAAAATATTGGCTACAATTGTAATGACAAAAAGTAAGGAATTGCGATATAAAAAGTCAAAGTGCTTTGCATTTTTACTATTAACTACACATTATATACATGTGCGGAATGAGCGAAATTTTAATTAAGAAAAAATTGACGATAAGTTGTATAATAAACGACAACTAAGGAAACTCTGTTTTGTTGTGTTAAATAACATACTGTCGACTTAGGATTAACTGCGACAACAGAAAATTCTATAATGAAGAACAAAGAAATGAATGATTCGAGTATTTATAACGGAAATACCAATAATACCAAAATGAAAGTAGCAAAAACTAAATTGTTTTCAAAACTCTAAAAAAAGCTATGTAATATTTTTAATAATTAAACGATTCGATCATAATATAAGATTATTTCATGTGTTGCATTGAATCATGCATTTATAGAAAATTCCAAGAATGTTTTCGTATGCTTTTAAGTTACATCTATGTCTGGTATTTTCTTCCCTAAAGGTGGTACGTAACGTATCCAAATGCTTACATTTTTGCTCTTTACCATGTATGCGAAACAAACACTTTTGACGAAAAATTTCGCATTCTGTCTACATCTTATGTTACTTTATTACACGCCTAATAAAAAATTTTTAACTGTAAAATAATTAAATGATTCGCTTTTCATTTTAAAAATTTATTTATATCCTTTTGAAGTTTTTTCACATACTTTACTTAGTTATAATTAATAAAGCAATTTTGCTAATTTAAATGTTTGCAGTTAAACTATACTGTTCTGAAACTGAAAAAAAAAAAAAAAAAATCAAAAACTCATACAAAAATCTAAGAGACGCAGTTTTTCACTTAATAAAGTTAGCGATTACAAAAAATGTATAATATGAAAAAAAATTATAAGAAACAGGTTGGGTAAATTGAAAGTAAAGCCTTCGTGTGTGCCTTTTGATTTAGCGAAAATTTTATTACTCCGGGTCGCTATATAAAGACTAAATATGACACTTTTTCTTTAAACGTAAAATCTTCAAGATCAAACGAGAAGCAATCACATTGTACTCCACGTGACGGCATTATATACTTTTAAAAAAATATTAATATTTAATAATTACACCTTAAAAATTTTATAAATTTCTTTTCATCAAAAGAAAGCCAAAGAAAAAAAAATAACAACGTATAACTTCTTACCATTACTTTTTAATTTATGCGTTCGTTTGTTTAAATTTTGTTCCAAAAAGTATGGAAAATCGGGAACTTGCGCAAATTTTCTTTTCTAAAGGTTTAACCATCTTAATTTAATCATTTTAATCGATAAATAATTAAAACATCTTAACCACTAAGTTTTTAAGTATAATAACTACAAAGAAAAATTACTCTAAATCAAAAGCTCGTGTTTATTTTAATGGTAATGATGTGATCTCTTCACTAATCTAAAATTTTCATATACATTTTATGAGTTTGAGGGAATACTTTGATAGCAATAAGAAATCGTCATTCGATTATCTATAAGAGCGTCTCTTGTAAATTTATTTACAACGAAAATATATCATTACGTGATTCGCCACGTATCACACATCAAGTTTATTTGTTTCTTGTGTTTCTTATTGCTACCTTAGCCGATAAAGCAGTCACGCGAAATACATTTTCAGAAAGAAAATTAATTTCCACCTTTCACCACGTATTATTATTTTGTTGTTGTCATAAATTGTTCACAACTTGAAAAAAAAAAAATTGCAATAATTGATAAAATGATAAAAGTGAAGATTTTGTAGTAACACGTGAAACCAATTAATTTCACAAATGAGTATTCGTCGTTCAAAACCTGAAACGTGAATTTGCAAGTTCCCGTGATAGCTCCCGTTTTGTTAGATAATGATGGTGCTGTGACGAAGACGAGAGACGACGAAATAAAAGGGAGATGATATTTTCGACGACGAAAAGAAGAGAGAGCGCGAGCGCGAGAATCGGCATAGTTTTATTCTTCGCTATCGTCTCCTCAAACAAAACCAAAGTTCTTCGTTTTGATAGCCAGCAGCAGTTTGTGTCGTAGCACGTGACGCGAGCTGTACAGGGGCACATAGAGGCGAGATATGCAGGTGTTGGCCGTGGGTAGATGCATGTCGTCGGCTGGTCGGATCGTAACGCTCGGCATAGGCTGGAATCCGTCTTCACTTGCCGGTAATGCTGGTGAACCCGTCCAAAAGTAAACCTGTAAAGAAAAATCAATTGTGACAATTTTATACACAACTAAGTGATGTCAATTTTAATTTGGTAAACATTTTACTATTACTTACCAAATCCTGTCTTTCCGTGTGCGTCATTTTCTCAACGATCGACCACAACCACCTTTTAAATTTAACTAGTCTATCTGTCGACTCACCCGACTCGTCGTTGAACGACGTGTACGATATGAGCACCGAGACATTAATATCACCGACACCATTGAGTAACAGTCGAAGGTCCTCAGCTGTGAGACCATCGAGAGCACCTTCTGGTAACACGTCGAACACACCCTCGCGTATCGCTTCGAGTGCTTTATCTTGCACTTTGACCATTCGTACTTCCGCGTACTTGCGAACGTAATCGTAGACATTTGACGTTGTCACCTCGATGCTATGGCCATTATGTACGAGCTCAATAGCGCCACCGCCTTCCTCTGGGCATAGATCGATGCTACATGAAAAGAAAAAAAAAATTTAATTTAATAACCGTTAACTCAGATAAATGTAAAATTTTTGACCTAGGTAGACTTACTTAAACGTAAGATCCAAGTGGAATAAGTTGCTGCTATCTTTTGTCTCAGCGTCAACAACAAGCTGCCTTAAACTCTCATATATGACGGGATCGAAAAATGCAAGATCGTGGAACCTTATCGGTCTACCGAGAATGTATTTTAACACGTGTCGGTTCAGGAATATTGGGAATAGTTCGTTTTGCTGTAAACATAATCCTATTAGCCGGCCGACATTCCTAAATGCGTTTAATCTTTCGTAGGACGCTCTTCCCTGTCTCGGAGTGTAGAATCCTCGTTTACCGGGTGCGTAGAACAGCGGGGCATTGTCTTCTGGATCATCAACTATCGAATTGTCTAACAAAACGAAATTACATTTTATTATTTCATCATGATGAAAAACATAGCAATTTAACGCTAAAACATCAGCATACCTAAATTCTTTTTCTTAGCACCACACCGCTCGGTTAGACTAAAGACATCGAGATCTAGCAGAGCCTCACTTGCCAGATCTTGATTGTGACTATGTATAAGTTCATACGCTTCCTCGACTTTCTGTCTGAGCGATTCCTCTGATGCCAGCAGCATCAACAATTGTGCCGGATTCATCTCTAGTAGCATACCCGTAATTTTTTCGGCGTGGGACGGTTTCAGCGCATACACTTTTGGGTATAATCTGTCACCCAATTGTTGCTGGTGCATCGTTAAGTGATCGTTGTTTGAGTGACCGAAGGCTGGCGGATGATTTGCGGAAGATGAGTTGCCGGACGAGTTCGAGGACGACGAACCTTCCAAAGAGGTCGTCGGATAAAACGAACGAGCTTCAAACGATAGTGTGCGACGCGATTCTCTGCATTTGACGGACGATCGGATGTTCTGGAATCCACATAATTTTCAATCATTTCGTCGGAAGTGAATTTCAACATAAATTTTACAAAGTTTCTCTTACCTGTCGTCGGAGATCCCGATCGCGATCTTTGATTTTGAGCTTTTGCAAAACGTTGCATTGAGTGTATTTGGAGCCTACTTGTGCTGCTTCAAGATTCGGTAGTTTCTCATTGGCTAGGAGTGCCTGAAAATATAAGAAAAAAAGGAAAAAATTACAATTGATAACTATTTAATTACATTGCACCAATAGACTGACACTGACCTCAGCTATCGCTGTGTAAAAGCTCCGCGCCACGCCCGAACCTTCTCCAGGCTCATCCTTAAATGTAACTTTGACACGCGACACTGCTAGTGGTGGTGCATTCGATGCCCTTCTATTATAAATGTTGTACTGTGTATTCAGTTCCTTCATTGTCTGAATGAGCAGCTGCGTTCTGTCGCGTTCGACCTTAGACAGCGTGATATCTTTTTGCTGTATGCTTCTTAGTTTTTCCATGTCTCTCCTGAATTTTGCTTCTTTTACTGGAAAGCCACCAAGCTCGGATACTATACTTCCAGTCTCTAGACCCACATCCTCCATGAAAACTCTACCGAATAAATCGAGCGAAAGCCTCCAGCGGCCTAGCAGGATATTGTGTGAGATCTTGGGGCTAAGATTAGAAATTTGTTGTCTGCTTGGTGTTGGAGGCACAGTAGGTGCAGTACTAGCAGTGGCCGTAACAGTAGTAGCAGCAGCAGCAACAGTATCAGCTGGCTCTTCCGACGTCATTTGGGTGGTTTCCATCACTGTGTCATGCACAGAGTCTTCTTGAACTGATGCGTTAGGCGCGAGATCTACCTTCTCGTTAGCACCAGCTGTCTGTAACTCGCTACTCTGTCCTGTTACTGCTACCTCGTCCGACGTCATGTAAAAAGCCTGTTTATCAACATTGTTTTGAGACTTGGTAGAGCAGACGCTGCTGCTGCCAGCGCGGACTATCACGCTGCGTTCAATTTTGTTAGTACAAGATTTTTGTGGACTGCCACTACTACTATTGCTATCTGTGTCCACGAGTTGGTTGCTAGGAGAGACAATTATCGGAGCTCGATCTGTCTGCATGTCGGCTACAGCTATCGTATACTGTACAGACTCGGCTGATTGACTGTATACTTTTGGCTTGTCACTGTACTTTGCCGAACTGGATTCACCAGGATTTCGGTTTGATTCTTGGGCGTTTCTTCTGTCTGCGTTATTGCTGCCCTGACTCTTAGCTATCTGTTCTGAAGTGTGACCCAATATAAGTGTAGACGAGTTGATCTGTTGCGTCTCGTTGCTTCTGGTGGACAATCCAAGCCTCGTAGGTAATCCTTCTAGTCCATTAGCTCCACCGGTTGAATTTTGACGAGGTACTCCGAAAAGATCTTCACGCCTCGAGTGCGGTTGCAACAAATGTGGCTGATCAGCGAGAGGTAATGCCTCGGAGAGGCTAGTGTCAAAGGGATCTAAAGTAGGACAACCTAGACAAAGAGTCGAGTCCGAACGCTGGAGGAAGGGATGTTTTCTGCCTTTGCCCGAGCCGCTGACGGTGCTTGAATTTAAAGTACTGTTATTGGGAGCCGAGACGCACGGAATGTTAAGCAGTTCGGGATATTCAACCGAATCAGTTTCCATTGCAGCAGCTGAGTTAAGAGTGTCTTCCTCACCCTCTTCGTTGTCATTCTCATCCTAACAGCAAAAGCCATGATAATCGGGTTGATATGAACAATAATAATAATAATAATAATAATAATAATAATAATAATAATAATAATAATAATAATAATAATAGGTAGTTTGATTTTGGTTACGATTTATCTTACCTGGTCATTCCAAGCAGCATCAGAAGCATCTTTAGGCACGTCTCCCCGTGATGTCAGTGGTTCGGATAGAGACCTCATATAATAGACGAGAGCATCAAACACATAAGCTACGTGGCGTAATGCGGAAACGTCAAGAACTGGCAAGCTGTCTCTGTGCTCGCCATTGTGAGCTCTCATTAGCGACAGACAGTAGGATAAGAATTCGCGTCTGGCCGAGTGTGCATCTGCGCCTTCAATTTCAGTATGTCAAATTAGTTTTTTGAAATCATGCGATTAAAGTGAAAAAAGAAAACAAAACGATTAAATACAAAAAAAAATAAATCAAAATTCCCTAGAGTAGAATCAACGTTAAAAAAAAATCAAAAACAAAAAAAACGCATAGTGATCCCCAAAAAATAAATACCCTCACGTTCTCTACTGTTTCGTGCAGCATCAGTGCTGCTAAAACCGACGGTTAGTCTCGTGGACCCTTGACCTGCTGCTATATTCGACGAGGCGGAAATGCCGGTACGAGCGTTGCGGCCACTACCACTTTGCAACGACAGCGACAAAGCCGCTGAGTTAAGTAGTCCAGTAAAGTTGCCACCCGACAGTGAAGGCGCACTGTTTAGTGGGTGCTCCGGATGCGAGGGATCGGCGCTGCGAGTGAGGGAGACCCCAAAACGTAGCTGCGCCTCTGTAGCATCCATGACTGTCAACAGCCAGTCCCACGTTGGCTTCAAGTGAGCCTCCAGATACATCTGAAAAGCAATCGAACGTCAATTTTTTCACGTTTTCACACAACTTTAGGCATTAAAATGTTTCTATCTCAACATTACGTACCTGTAAGTTGATGGCGTCATTGTACGAGACATCCAATGTCCTAGGTAGGGTCGGTGCAACCATTTTGTAGGCCTGCATCATTGTTAGCAAGTCAGCAATTTGCCGAATAACAATCCCGAATGCTCGGGCCAGACAACTGGCAGTCGTGCCCATGGTGATGGGCTCCTGTGTAGTTGCAACTGCTGAGGTAGCAGTTGATCGTCGGAGTGACGACGGATCGATGAAAACAAGGTTATTGCCACCTGTGACTCTCACGCCGGTTGTACGAGTATTTGTTTCACGATTGCGGATGGCCCACTGCATTGATACAGGCGCAAGATTGTTGCGTTGGGCTTGTCCACTGGAACCGTTTCTGCGCTCGAGCTGCTCATCACCAATCTGGAACTCTTCCGTGTCCTGGTCATCTGTCTCTCCAGCTTCGCTTTCGTCATCTTCCTGTTGGCTCGATTCACCAGACTCGTCTTCAGGATAGAGCAATATCGAGTTCATGCCGCCATCCGAACCGGCAGTAGCGCCTGTTTGAACACTACGCTGAGCTGATGCCGTGTCTTGGTTGCTGTGGTTGTCGTCAGAGTCAGATTCGGTTTCAGCCTCGACCATCAAATCAAGTTCGGTGTCAGATTCACCGTCACCAGGAGGATCTTCTCCAACACCGGGGGCAACAGCGTCAACTTCGCTCAGAGGCTGAGTACTTACAGGTGCTGAGGATTCCTCGTGCTCGCTCATTTCGCCATCCAGGTCCATTGGAACTTCTGAAAAGAAAATAAATTTTTCTTTGTTGATTTTAAATAATCTTGGATTAATTAGAAAAAAAAAATAGTCTTTTCAAGTTTTCATGAAGATTCATGTTGATTTACCTTCGCCGGGCTCGACTTCGTCAATATTTGATGCATCTCTGGCAATGGATAAATTATTGTTTCCCTGTTGGGCTTGCAAAGAAGCATCTAAACTCTGTGCATTAAGGCCACTGTGCGGAATCAAAGGTTCAATAGAGAACAATTCCTCAGATCCGTTAATTGCTTCAATAGCAGAGCTTGTAAGAATGAATGGCGCAGTAGGTCTGGATACCCCTAAACGCACTGGTGCAATTAAGGAATCAGCAGTCTCACATAACTCTTCAACAGCTAGTTTGATTAGAGCTTGGAATATTCTGCGGCACTTCACCTGCGGTTGCGAAGCTTGACTTGTACTGAAAATTGAATGATAAATTATTATTAGGGAATAAATAAACTGTACTAAGATGCAACAGAAATTGATTAATTCGTACCTTCTTCTCTTGGCCGTGTTGGGCGCCATCTCGATAGCGAAAATAACAAAGATCCTCGCCACAGATCTAACAAACCTGCGCGCCACGATATTAGCCTCCTCCATCCTGCCTGGTATACTATCATTCTGCAGTTCTCGAATAAGGGTCGTCAGGAGCGTATCCAACATTTCAGAACTACACTTGACAAGCAGGGAATGAGTAAACTTGTCAAGCAACGCAGTACCACTCTGTTTTGATCCCTGGCTCTGATCGCCGAACAGCTGATCCGTAGTAGCATTTTCATGCACACCGGACATAATGGTGCATTGAACGGCTGACCAATCGTTGAGAAGTCGTTCAAGAGCTTTGCGATTAAATCGCGGTGGTTCGAGGTCATGATCGGGCATGTCCGATTCAGCAACAATACCGTCCGAAGTGGGATTCTTACGATTAGCTGATGTAGAACGCGCCCTAGGTGCCGAATGGAACTGGCGTTGTTCTACCGACTGCCGACCAACTGTCTGTACTAAGAACAGAAGGATAGACTCGCCTCTAGAATTAATTTTAGTTGCAAGATCGGTACTGGTCACAAGCCTGCATAGTAAATCATATCTGGCATTCTGACGGCCAGCGATCAGGGCTTTGCACTTGCACTTTTCCCAGCAGTCACAATACGCGGTGGGTGAAGTGTGCTTGAGCTTGCAATCGTGACCACGATGGCAGACCTTGGCACACTCTGTACAACAGCACAGAGACCCAGTGAGACCGCAAGTGCGACATTCAAAGATATCCTGATTTATGTGGTCAGCACCTGTCCACGTGAAGCTGCATGTGTCGTTGCAGCAGGTGACAAACAGGGGTGATAGATCAGGACTTGCGTCTGCAGGTAGTATCATTGGGGCGCAGTCTTTCGTATCTTTGCCAACGCGTTGGATCGTTTCAAGGATTACAAGTGCGGCACTATACGCACGCACCGACACTGCAAGCATCAATGGAGTCTGGCCCTGTGAATCTCTGTAATCACAAAACAATAGTATTTTTAAAGTTGTGCTAAAACCAATTCGTTGAAGGAAAAAAAAAATTCATTGCTATCACACCTAGCAGTAAGCAATTCTCTGAGGTGTGGAGCTAAGACTGGAATCTCGCACATATATTGCAATATAAGTAGAGCATTTTTGCGTCTTTGGGCCGAATCAATTATGTAGGTATTATTTGTAGCTGAAACAATAATCACAAAATTTTAGCAACGTAAAAAAAAAAGTTGTTACTCATTTGCCGTATTTGAAATTCACGTACTGCTTCTGTTCATCATAGATATGCTAGAAGCTCCAATTCCAAGTAAAGAATCTTCTTCACCTGATGTATTGTCAAAAGCTTCTGAAGGCCAGTTCAATGTTGGGATTGGCTCTTCCATAGGGGCGGCGTTAGCATCAACTGTATTCGAAACCAATTCATGCTCGATGCTTGGGTCAGTTTCTTTATTTGACGTTGGAGCGCACATAGTTATGCAAGCATGAAGGATATTACGATTGCCATCACAACGCTCATTGAGAATTGATTGCATTTGAGCCACATTGCCTTCTAAGATGAATGAAATAATTATGTCATAAATTCAGAAATCGCGCGTTGCGTAAATTCAAAAAGTAACTTACTCAGCTCTTGGTCCAGATTAGTGAAAACTTGTTTAACACCTTCAAAATCGCATCTGAGAATCCTTGGCATGAGCAAGAGATTATCAAAAACGAGAGCAATAACAGATACTTGGTTCTTAAGGTTCATAGAGGGAATACTTGGGATAGGAATGGTTGAGGCACCAATGCAAAGCACTGGCACTAGATCCAGCCAGTTGGGATCACGAATTGCGTCAGCGCAGTCTTTTGCAAGAGGATATATCGTGTTATTTCCGTCACGCAAAATCATCGAACACTCGGTATTCTGTATGAATATGAAAAAATTAGATTACAACAACATTTCAGAAACAATATTAATATAGTTAAAAAATTTTAACCTCTCCAGCATTAGTAAGAATGATATTTTGAGGCTGTAAGCCTAAGAACGACGAAATATCTGATGGAATGTAACAATCTTGTACATATCTGCCAGTGCTTATATTATAAATCACGTAGCTCAACTTATTTCCTGTACGTGAAATTGCATGAATGCCTTGTCCGTCTGCTGCTATTGTCAAAAGATTGTCGCTAGAGCCTTCAGCGATATTTATACGTCTTGGTGTCCGTTGGAAACAGTCTGGCGCGCGAGAATTCATGGATGACTTCATTACCTGTAAAATTAAAAATTTAGTTTAAATTCCGAATAATTCGGTGTTCCTACGAAAAGTACAATAAATAAAACAACTAAAGAGCTGTATGTGAAGTATGTGTCCTTGTTTCAATGAAAAGTTGTCGACGTTTCGCCAGTCAAGGAGGACTCTTCAANTCTGGCGCGCGAGAATTCATGGATGACTTCATTACCTGTAAAATTAAAAATTTAGTTTAAATTCCGAATAATTCGGTGTTCCTACGAAAAGTACAATTAAAATCTTCAAAAGAATATTTACCATTAACTCATCCTTACGGAGAAGCCTGCAATCAGCAAGAAGCTTAGTCGGTTCTTCAGCTATGTCGGCACCTTCTTTATCTTTGAACTCCTTTTCTTTATCCTTTAAATCTTTATTTAAAAATTTAACAGCCACGTAACAGCCATCCACTTTAATTACTTTTCCTACTGGAAGTGATTTAACATCCTCAACAAAAACAACATCTCTTAAATGCCATTCTTCTTCGTCTTTTTTTTCAGAGTCATCACTTTTTGGAGCCATGCGCTTAGTTCTTTCTATAATAACAATTAAAATAAATTATTCTAAACGTACAAGGCAGCAATCAATCTTTAAAATTTCAATGAAAAACTTACTGTGACTAGTCGTAATGCTACCAGTATCACTGCACGTGCTGGATGCTGGTGATGGCGGTGGTGGCATGTCTATTCTGTCAGCGGTCTCTTTATGACTGGATTTGTTGCCACTGTTAGAAGATCCATTGCTGTTGGTTTCTCGTTTTTCAGATGTTATATTAGGTGGCAATATTCCAGTAGGGAGAACTTTGAAGCGGCACGTAGCGTCAAGGTTCCAAACAGCTGACAATAATTGTCCAACTTTAGGTACACCATTTGCTATTGTGAAACCTATCGCTCCTGGTTGATAAATGGGACTATTTTTCATGCACACGTAGCTACCGTATGTTATTTCGGACGTCGATGCAGTGGATGGTCGGTGTTTTTTGGACTTAGCTTTATACTTTTCCCATAATTTCATTCTCTGAGCAAATGGTAAAACACCCCTAAATTGAATTGAAGAAAAATAAGTTTAAACTATTCAATAGAGTAGTAATGGAAAAACTTGATAACATGCTTACCACCAATAAAGGGCTCCGCTTTCGAGACGAGCGACTGTATACAGTGAACAAGTGTACAACGATACAATTTTGTCTAATGTGAATTCTGTGAAAGCCTGAGCTGGATGTTCTAATTTCGAGGCAACGTGTCCCAAAAGTTCGTCAAGCCAAGTAGCAACTTTACCGCTTTCTGTACTGATGGAACACCTAATCGCTGCAGCCGATATGTTTACGATTTTTTCGCCCACCACGTTTAGAGCTACAGCTTTTGGATGATGAATATTTGGGTTCTATCAAATAAAAAGCAAAACAAATGTTGTGAAAGCACTCTAATACAATCGTACAAAATATATTATAGTGATAAAAACTTACGTCTGGATGTTTGTAAGGCTCGGAATCGGACCACCGCCACTGGTAGAGTTGACCGGTCGACGAGATAGCAATCAATTCACTGTAAAGCGCAGCAATTTGGGTGAAACGAGGAGTTGCATCGCCACGATCATTCCACCATTCTAAATCCTCAGATATCCAAAGAGGACTTTGAGATGCCAGTTCTTTCTTCTTGATATCTAAATTTAAGTACGCATAAAATTTGTTAACAGCTTTAAACATTGAAGCTGTACTAGTTGACAAAAATAATTTCAATACACTTACCTGGATCTTTATCCCAAGAATCTTTCAAAGCAGTTTCCAGCCAACGTCGTGGGCCGTAATACTGACGATCTCTCCATCGGCTAAAGCTATCCCGATCTCTATCGCGTTCCGACGGTCGCTCATCCCTGTCAATCGCTAGTCTACGGGACGGGCCACTACGGCTGAGGTACATGTAAACGCAAGAAAGTTATTTCATATTATTAAAAGTCTGTCATCATTTAACACCCTTGACGATCGATCTAAGAACCCCACAAACCTCCTCATCCCTGGATACCCGAACACATCTTCCGAAAACATAGAGTCGGCATCAATTATAACCGAATGCTCGTTACTGAAGCCTCCATCGAGTAACGATATAAGATCTTCCGGGACATAACTGTCAGCTGCATCTTCGCCATCATCTCCTTCTTCGTCGTCTCTTGAAAGCAGATTGTTAACAGCAAGGTTGACATCTAAATTTGTACGCTGTAGTTCGCGCATGATCAAATTGCGGCTTTTGCCTTGCAACACCATTTGGGCCTGAAAAGACAATAATCATGCAACGACGTTAAAAAAAAAAAAGTTAAATTTAAACCTGCCGTCCGATACCTGAGAAATAAGATCTTCTGGTACGAAAGGTGCCGGTACCGACACAACCGGACGAGCGCTACTGCCACCACTGCTCATTATGACTCCAGGTGGGTTGATACGACCACTACCTCCCGTACCACTGCCTGTACCACCTCCACTGCCACTGCCACTGCTACCTCCGCGGATGGCCGAGTTGTTGCGCATTATACGGGCACGCGAACGTGAAATGCCGGCTCGACTGCTACTGCCACCGGTACCACTACCGCTATTGCCAGTTGCACTGCCGGTACCGCCTCCACTGCCACTGCCGCCTCCACTACTTTGGTTTGTCGACGAATTACTGGCATGAGTTTTGCTGGTGCTATACAATGGTTCATTCATAAGGAATAGAAAATAATGTTTTTAATAGTGATTTTACTGCAAATGATTTTTGACGTAGTAGGGAATCGAAAATTAATATGAATTTAATAACTTCCGTTTTTGGGACTCTACTCTTTACAATATAAAATTAAAGAGAGCAATGCAAAATAAATGAGTCAGTAACAGTTGTATATGTATTTTACTAACCCCGTGGATATAAGTATTCTTTAAACAAATAATAATACTAGTTTTAATTGTTGACAATCACTATATTTTTTAAGAAGAAACACTATAATGTCATAGAAAATAATGTCAAGTACTCAAACTACACTAGTCTTAGGTTTTTAAGTGATTATTACTGTAGTCAAAGTATAAGGCTCTTACATGGAGCAGTGGTGCCTAAAAAATTAAAAGGAAATATTTACTTACTTTCTGTTGGGCTCTTTTTTTCTCAAGTCCAATCTGTCATATATAACTGTGTATGCAACACGACATATTTTGTTATCATCCATAAGCAAACCAATGTGCGTTGGTCCCACAACAATACGTTTAACTGATGATTTGAGCCCACTGAGGGCAGGTGGGGTGACAAAACCATATCTGTTTATTTTTTCAGCTACTTCTTTTAATCTGAAAAAGTGCATTTTTATCACTGAGAATAAATTAACTCAAAAAGCATGGAAGACAAAACGACTGCATATGATTTCACAGCAGAAACTTTGTTACTTAAGTTAGGTTACTGTCAATAAAAAAATTTTCTGTATTGCCGTAATACTTATAAAAGCACTGCCTTTTAACAAGTAAAAAAGTTGACACAAAACAAATTGTTTCATAAGCCAAAAATAGTGAGTTTCCTTATTTCACTTGAATGTACATGTATAATTCATTCGAACAATTAATCAGTTTTTCAATAAGGGTAAATTAATCTTGATCAATAAAGCTACAGATAAAAAATTGTAGATTACAATAAAATCAAAATGATGTCATCAGGAGTTCATGGCTTGAAATTAAATGTTGCACAAAAAGTAAACATACCAAGCATGACCATAAGTAAAGTACAAACGATCAACTAAATTTTATGTTTCCAAATGTGATAATAATGCAAAAACTCCCCCTCCCTACATTTACGAGAAAAGTCTTTGTCTTGACAAAGATTGTAAAATAAAATTTTCAGCTGATTCAAATACGATATCCGAAAATAAGTTATATTGCGTTAGGCAGACGTTGTCCAAGAAGATGGTTTTGGAGTAGAATGGATTTATACGCAGCAACGCAAGCGTAACGTATGAGTGTACATAAGTAGGCGATATGCAAAGCCAAGGAGTAATTAGGCTAGAAATTGCGTTTAATTCAATGGAGGAAAACTAGCCTTGTGCTTATACGTCGAGAAGTGACTCACCTGTCGTTCAGCTGATCGTCCGTCCCAGGCAGGGGATGAACGACGAAGTGTATCGAGGAGGAGCTCATGGCTGTTGAGTCCGTTGCACGATGTTGGTGTCTCAGCTCACTCCTCGAGCTAACGAGGATGAGCTTGTAGACGCGTGCCCTGCTTCCACTACTCCTCTTACTTGCACGCACTCCCTAATCACTCCGAAGTTACGACTGTATATGCGTGTGTATATATATATATATCTTTTTGTTCTGTTGTTCTTCCCTGAGGAAGATGTGGTCGAAATAATTCGGGAATCGGGCAAGAGAAAAGATGAGGTTATTGACGAAGTCGACGCCTCTTCTGCAAGCGTATTGTGGTGTCGTTGCACGAGGCGTGTGGACTTGATCTTTATCGCTGATAAACTGCTGCTTGCGTGTTTTTAACGTGAATTTTCGGGCCCCACTCCCATCATAGCGGAACGAGTTACTGTGGCCATGTCTCGGAGAAGGAAACTTTACTGACACTAAAAACTAGGTACTAAAACTCAACCAAAACTCTCTCTCTCTCTTTTTCTCTTTGTCGAAGTTTTATTGCGATAAGTGATGATATCTCTCTCTTTTCACGATTCGCGATTCCCTTCCCTAGATCCCTTCATCATCCCTTGTAAGTTGTGAAGTACGCGCCGTACGTGGTGTGCAGAGAGAGAGAGAGAAAGCGCACACTTGGCACAGTTGGCACACTGGCACTTGCATTGTACTTCAGGTGAGAGGGAAATTTGAAATTTTACTATATGCGCATGCGCGAATTGGAAAAAAGGAAATGACGGAACTCTGGCGTCGGTACATCAGAGTAAATCCCTTACCAACGATTACTCTACCGCAGTCCGCACTGCAACAAATTTTCTGGTACCCTTGGGCCCCAATAACCCAATAACCCCAAGGCTTGGGGTAATTTCTGTTACATAATATAGGTCAATTTTAAAGTCAAACATAGATTGAAAATTTGCCGCAAATAGCTCAAACAACGTTAACGTTTTATTTTATATGTTAAAGATTAGTTGCGGCTGGTTTATAGTTCATTAAATTGCTCTAATGTAAGCAGTAATAATTATTTGGATCAGCGCCATCTAGCGTTGCGGATTTTTGAACTAAAAAGTGGCCCTAAACTTTTCAGCCAGAGCTTTAGCGCGTAGAGCCATTTAATCACTTATAAACCAGCCGCAACTCATGATGTAACTATAAAATAAAAAAATAACGATACATATGTTTTTGGCGGCAAGTTAAAAATTTTTCTTTTACTCGAAAACTCATCTTTAAAAGTGTTAATGCAAAGGAGGTCTATTTTTTGGTAAAAAAAAAATTGTTAACTTGCCGCCAAAAACATATGTATCGTTATTTTTTTATTTTATAGCTACGAAATGAGTTGCGGCTAGTTTATAATTGACTAAATGGCTCTAATCCTAAATGCTCTGATTTAGAATTTTAGGAGCCACTTTTGGCCAAAAAATAAAGACCGCTAGATGGCGCTGATCCAATTAATTATTACTAACTTACATAAGAGTAATTTAATCAACTATAAACCAGCCGCAACTAATTTTGTAGAGAGAAGATAAAAAGATAATATTTTTTGTGCTGTTTGCGGCAAGTAAACAATTTATCTTTTACCCTAAAATCGACCTCCAAACGTATAGATATTTTACTTATATGGTTTAATAAAATCGACCATATGGCACTACTTAGTAGTGATTACTATAATTACTACACATAACTTCACGTACATATTACACCGTGCTCTCTTTATACCAGAATGATAAAATCAGTCGGCCAAAAATCACAGACGTGAAGATAAACCCCATCAGTACTCACTACTGACCTCATCGTCGGTCAACTATCGATACAGCAGGGCCGATTTTATCGTTGCTGTACCGACGGTCGGCTGGTTCAATCGAACTGCAGGTCTCCTTTTTATCTGGTGCGACCGTCAGTACATCAGGGTTTGCAACGCTAGATGGCGTTACATCCAAATGCAATTTCGATCACCGACGAGCTTACTTAAGTATGTCTATTTGCGTGCATTGATACCTACATGTCTTTTCATATTCGCTTGTATGTTTGTATCTATATACTTATCTCCCCGGTCACGCAGGACCGGTTATCGAGAAAACTTTTCACAATTCTTATTTTTCAATCACTTTGTTATTTTTTATTTTTATCTTAAAATTATCCTCATCCCTAAGTCGGTTTCATGGATTCAATACCTGGCACAAGAACCATCAGAAAAAATCAGAGAGCCCCCGACCGCGAATCGAACCCACGACCCCTCGAGCTGTGTTGTTTCGGTGGCTACCGTGTGTTCCAGTAGCGCTCTCCGACAACTTACCGACAACTTAAACATGACGCAAAATATCGTAAGACATAATTAAGTTGTCGGTAAATTGTCGGAGAGCGTTACTGAAACACACCCCTAGCAGGCTAACCACTGAGCCAACGACGAGCTCAAGAAATATATACCTAATGACAGCGAAAAAATAAGAGAAATGTGTAGAATGATATAAATGATGTAACGATATGTAAAAAGACAATGTAAAATGACTTTATGAATAAAGGAAAGGAAAGTGTACATACCTATAGTAGGTCAGTACACTATGATATAAAAAAAAAAACTAGTATATATTTCTTATTATTTTCCAGGGGCCCTATCCTCTATTGGCAGACGACATAGCCAATACACAGCTAAAAGAGCTCTCTGATTGGTCGAAATTGACTGTGTTGGCCTGGTGTCAGTTGTGTCACTCACCGACACACTTAGAGGATATAGGGCCCCCTGCAGACTACTTCAACTACTTCAACTACTTGCTTCCTTTTCCATTATACCTAATCCTAATAACCGCATTTCGGAGCAGGTATGCTATAGATTTGTATTACTTTTGAAAGGAATAGAGCAGACACAACACGACACGAGGCCTTTCAGTGTATACTTATGCTGAAGATTCTCAACATTTTTGCAAAGAAGAGTGAAGTTTGAGTTTTGAAGTTCTGGAAAAAGTGTTATCAAGAAAGATCTACATCATTTGGGTCCTCGATTCTTTCGGAGGTGAAAGAATAGGTATTGCAAAGAAAAAGAGAGATATTTGGTTAAGATACAGCAGGCCAAAGAGAGGAGCGCAATAAGAGAGTTGTGACGGGTAAGTGTGCTAGATAATAGGAAGATGAGCATAGATGGTATGCATACGTGGTTATTGTACTGAATTTGTTTATAAATATTTCTGTTATTGTAATGTAGTCTGACTTGACTTTGCATGTTTTCTGGATTTTTTTTGTGGGAACATAATGATTTTGAGGGGTAAAGGTGGATGCTTTGATCAATGTGCTGGTGTACACACTTACAGTTGAAAATTATGTTCAATTCAAATAAGTGATAAGTATCCTACTTTTGCAAAGTAAAAACTTTGGAAATCATACCTACTCACGTTTGAAGAATGTAACGTTGTGAACCCATAACTACTGCACTATCTTGCACTGAGATATATGAGATAAAAAAATAAGGGAAAGGATGTAATAAAATACATTCTGCATGATTATGCACTATGTAGTTTCTGCAGTTTTGTAACTTTATATATTTCCTCTTTCTTTTTGTACAAACATTTTATCGATTTTTTTTAGTTGTAGAATTGTATTTATTCCAACGTTTATCTGAATTTTAGAATGGCTCGTGGACAACAAAAACTTCAATCCCAAGCTAAGGCTGCAGAAAAAGCTGCAAAAAACAAGAAGCAGCAGGGCCACAACGCCAATGAACAAAAAAAGGCAGCACAAAAGGCTCTGGTACATATATGTGCTGTCTGCAAGGTTTGTATTTGTTCACAGTGTTATTTCTTCAAAAAATGTTACAAATTTTAAAAAATTCTCATTACTATTACCAGGCACAAATGCCAGATCCTAAGACTTACAAGCAGCACTTTGAAAACAAGCATCCCAAAAACGATTTGCCAGAAGATCTGAAGAATATATGAGAGTAATGGCTCTTAGCCATTGAGAGAGTACTGAAGCAGCAGGTTGATTTGTGCCCATTTTAAAATTTAAAAAAAAAAGAAACAAAAAAACGAGAGAGTAACTTAGACTTAAGATAATTAAATTTTAAATGATGTTTGATTGCATCTTACAAAAAAAGAAACTCTTATAAGCAAAACCATAATCAGAACCTTATGGTTTGATTCTTATGGTTTTCTCCCTTTCTTTATCTTCATCGAAACAATGTTCTTCTACCCTTTGTACCATATACAGTACTGTTATTGGAATGACAGGCAGGGGCACCTTTCGCTGTTTTAAAGTTTATTCTCCAGCATACTTTATGTTGAATACATTTTTTAACCTTTGTTTATACTATTTTGCGGAATTATTTTTTAACAGTTGAATGAGTTTTTCTTATTTTTAGTACAAAATCCATCAAGAATGTAATCATAAATGGAATATATATGACTAAAGAAATAATATTGTAAACTATTTATAAATAAAAAATGATAAGTTTCAAAAATTCAGCATGCATTAATTACCAGTAATAACAGTGTAATAGTCTTGTAAAAATAATGTATCAACTTATGATCAGCCATTAGCTTGTTGATTCTATTTTCTGTAAATTTTTAAGTAGTGAGATTATATTAGCAGCTTTCTTACAGTAAAAAAAATTAATATTACAAATTCGTTTTATACAGCGATGTTTTCACAAAAGGTGCTGATCCTTTAAGATAACGAAAGGTGCCCAAATCTAGAAAAGCTTAGCTTATTAGGGGTGTATTAAAGTAATATTTGTCGTTGCCTTTAAACTTGTAGCCTTTTTTACTTTGATCATATGCACAAAATACTGCCAATGTTTTAAAAGTATATACTAATAAAGGAGTAGACAATGGTGATAATTACATGTATTATGAATAAATAAAAAAGAAATATTGTTATTGCTACAGTCATTGAGTTTGCAATCGCTTGAAAAGCGTTACTTAATTAAATAGTTCAATAAACGTATGCAACACATGATTGTTTTCTTTTATCATTTTTTTTTAGAATGAAAAAAATGTGGAATTAGATTACGTAAAATCAGCGCTTAGTATCCAAACGTAAAATATTTTTACGTAAATGTGTATTTCAACTCCGAATAATTACAGTATTTTACACCAAAAACTGACTTTTTCATTACACATAGTTTTTTTCGATACCTTTACCATGTTATTTTCTTTTTCATTCACATAAAAATATTAATGGGTCAGCTACGTTTTAGATGTTTAGAAAATCCCGCTACTTGTGTTATAAATAATTAATTTTAATAACTCACCGTGAGTGATATTTTACAAAATGTCTAGTTTTTGTAATTAAAAAAATTCATTACCAATAAAACCCATATGTTCAAAAAATTCTAAACCGATCTTCAGTATTATTTAATAGTCTTATTACAAAAAATCTCTATTATTGTATTGAAATTCAAATTTTTTGGCCAAAGTTTGAGACAAATTAATCAGGAGCCAACTTCTGTTAGGTATTTTATAACAAAAATGAAAAAAATTCTCTCTCAGGTCTACCACGCTATATGTAGTCTCAAGTTACTTTGATTAGAAAAAAAAAATTTCATATATTTAATTACGTTATTACGCATGGACACGATTTATCACAACAAATCAATCAAGACACTAGTTGAGAAAACCAGGCATTGGTCAATATTTTTTTATTTTCTGTCTACTACCACCGCCACTAAAAAAATCGATATGGTTTTCATGCGTTGCACACTCGCTCGTTCGACGCGTTAGTGTACAGTTAAAATACAGCGCCGCTGTTCGTCTCATGGAAATATTCTACGGTGGTAAAAACAGCGCTAGTAAAATAAACCAGGATTCCTTTGCACGGTTGTTGGAAGAAAAAAGTAAAGTGCCATGGACATGGTCCGCGACATGATAAAATGTTTATTTTACCCTACTATACTCCATTCTTAAAGTTATTTTTTGTCTTAGTTTTGGCATAAAAAATATACTCGCCTCCTTTCTGCCGATCAAGTTTCAAAAATTCTATGCAAGAATGTGGCACAAGTAAATAAATAAATGCTTCATTATACCTAGTACAATTTTACGTTTTTTTCATAATAAATATTGATTTGCAAAAATTATGTGAACTTAAATATCAATCGAGTACGTTGGTAAGCAATTTTCAAGTCTGAGAGTGTGTAATATACTGTGCCACTAATTTATTGACGCTTGAACATTTTTAATTTTACCTTGACAATTTAGTCGACGAATTAATTTTAAAAAAAAAAGAACAAAAAAAAAAACACTTTTTACAACACAGCACCAACAATAATCTTGAAGAATTTAAATAAAATCACTCGCCGATTTCATCGATCTCGCCGATCTCGCCGATTTCGCTGATCTCGCCAATATCAAATTTCGCCGCCTCGTAGCATTGACAACCAAGACTGCCGAGACATTTGCCGTAGGAAACACCCCTTCTTTTACAATCCGCATCGCAATTGTAGGGGTTACAGCCAGAAACAGCTAAGAAAATAAAACGTGGGCATACTTTGAAAAAAAAAGTATCGAGTCTTTTATTTTGTCGAGTAGAAATGAGATTTTTCGATGATCTCACTTTTGAAGCCGATCATGCCAAGAATGAGGGCAAAGAAGAACATTAGCCAAACCATTTTGAGGATGCGTGGTGCTTTTGCGCTGAAAAAATGTTTAACGTTTTTAGTACACTAATCTGTAGGTAAATCTTGAAATTTATTGAAGTACTTATAAAAAATAAACCTGAGAATTTCGAAACGAGCCCAGAGACTATATCTCAGCACCCTGCCATACCGCTCGACATCTTCATTGAAATAATGGATAAGCGTTCGTTACCATCGTATTTTGATTATATATTGGTTTGTATTTACCTCAGGATCAGTCCTGAACTCGATTAAATTGTCTACTCATAACAAGGTTATTTTTCGTCAAAGATTTGATCAAAGGTTAGATTTTATATTTACGCATACATGCCCACCCTTCGCGTGTTTTTTTTTTTTTTTTTTTTTTTTTTTTCATCTTAAACTGTTGCCGCGGGTACCGGCTATATGACCAAAATATATCAGTATTTTTATTCTTCAGTTACAAGTTGCACGGCAAACGTTTTGGCTAAAAATACCTATTTGTTTGTTGTAAAGTGGTTTTTTTTTTTTTTTTTCCCCTCAAGTACAAAAAGAAGTCTTTTTTTAAAAACAAGTTTGAAAACACTTGTCCAGCGTAAGCGTAGAGTCGATCGATACTAATGTAAATCAATACTGTGCTTAATGCACACGTGTGCTTAGTCAGTCTTTAATACACGATGTTCTCATTTGCTCGTAAAATGCAAAGTTATTATTTAAAATAAAACAGGTAATCAAAATTTTTTTGAAACAAAATAAAAAATAAACGCAATACCTAAATAAAATCAAAAACTTAATGTTATTTTTAGTATTCTTGAAATCCATGAATAAAAGGATACGACTTAAATATATGTGAACGTGTATTTCAATTTTTTAGTACAATAAAACACATTCTTATTGAGATTTTTAATTTTGATTGATTGAAAGCTTTTCTTACGAAAAAAACAACAAAACAATACAATAAAAGACAAATTGATAATCCATCTGACCCTCGTATCTACATATTTGACAAATATCTACGATATCTACATACTTACATCATTTTTGTATCTCGAAATGTATTTCTTTTACACCGATGCGAGCAGATCTATGCCAACTAATGGGTTATTCCCATTTCACATATGCGTCTGTTTATGACAAGGGATTCATTCGAAATAGTAAATCTCCGTCGTATAAAAGTCAACGCATACAAGGAACGAGGAAAATAGTTTATGATACGTGTGTACATCTGTTATTCTTATCACTTTACGTCTTACACAGCTTAAAATTTTAAAGGAATAAAACATCATCTATGATATGATTTCTATAAAAGCGTCAACGAATATTAAGCGACGTTAAAAAAGATTTTTCAACTATTTAAATTTTTCTAAATCCTATAAGATCAAGTGCAAATGACCTAAGAAGCGTGGATTTTCCCTAATTGGATTTGCGTTGGGCGTCACAAAGAAAAAAAAAAAAAAAATTGTTTGCTTGGAAATCGTTTCAACGCTACGTACTGGTACTATATGCACAAGTGCAAAAGCACTACTATCGATCATATATAAGCAGCCAATGATTCTTGAATGAAGATATAGTGTTCGTCTACAGACGCAGCATCTGTTGATAAATAAAGAATAAAATTCACGATGCTGAGGCTCTTGTTACTCCTACTTGTGCTCGTGGCTTTAACTGCTGTCCAGAGTAAGTTTTTCTTGAATAAATAATACGAATTGCTACAACAAGTATATGTTAAAAAAATTGGACTTGCTAACGAAATCAACAGAATGATATTAAATATTATGTTAAAAATAATATCGTACATATGTGCTTTGTTACAGCTGTTTCGGCGTCATGCAGCTCAAATTGCGACAAAAATTGCAAAAGAGGGGGTCACAGTTATGGAAAATGCTACGGCCGTCTAGGCTGCAAGTGCTTCGATCCAAGAAGAGGATGAAGGATGATTTAAACAAATTATGTATTCAAATTTTTGTCATTACAAATCAATAAATATTTATTATTTGTCACATGAGAAACTGTTTCTTTCATTTTTACACACAAACAAATAAAATTTGAGATTACGAATTTTACTTTGTAAATCTTTCTTTACTGAGAACACGCAATTTTTATGAGAATGTCTCCAAATAATTAAATACTAATTAGTTTCATTCTATCTTTTCAAATCTAATGTCACATAAATTAATTTTTTTATACGGTAGAAGAAACGAACACATACCGAGCTATGAAGGTATATGAATTTCAGTACATAAAAATGAATAAAAAAACTTGATTCAATTATTTTTTTCAACCAGCACTATGCCTCGCTCTGATACGACTAACATGACTCAATGTTATAAATATTCAAAAGTTAGAGTATTTTTAATGCTTATATTTCTACTAATACTCATTAAGAAATAATTTTTTTTTTTAGAAGGCAACAAGAATAATAACAATAATTGTTAATATAATTGTATTGAAATTCAAATTTTTTGGCCAAAGTTTGAGACAAATTAATCAGGAGCCAACTTCTGTTAGGTATTTTATAACAAAAATGAAAAAAATTCNAAAAAAAAAATACAAAAAGATTTAAAAGTTAAACTTTGAAAAATGTATAAAAATCCGAGCCAGTATCTAACGCGCTTCAATAAACAAATCACATGAGGTTTTCCCTCATATTAACATACACACCCGAAGCCACGAAATCCTAAGAAAAAGAAACTGCAGTTTCCTCGGTACGTTTCCATTCGCATACACGCAAACGTGATCCAGAGCTGTGACGCGCAGGAAAAACCTCGCTTGATTTTCATGGATATGCAATATAAGAATAAAACCGGCAAATCCGAGTCCACTATAAATATTATAAGCACCACGTGCAGGGGCTATCAGAATTGAAGTTTCTATCGATCGAGCAACTCTCCACTCTTGTCAATCCTCGCGAAAATGTTGAAGCTTCTGTTCGTCCTCCTTTTCATCGTCGCTCTCATCATCAACGAGTGTAAGTCCATAACATTTGGGATATTGATTACTTTTAGAGATTAACGCAGTTGTGTCTTTGTTTTTATTTAGCACACAGAATTTTTACGAGGTGAAATTAAAATTTGGTTTTTTATTCTAGCGATGGGACAAATCGTCTGCATACCATTTATTTGCAAGTATGCGTGTAAACCTGGTGTACGAGGACGTTGCGTGAAGCGAGATTGTAAATGTTGATGTTGAAAATTTTTCACGCCACCTACTGTTACTACGTAGGTATGTACATAAGTCAATTGTAAAACAAATAAGGAGCAGTTGTAGAGAAGGACAATACAAAAGCTTCATTGTTATCTGTAATTATTGGCTTTTGATTGTATCGCCATCACAATACAGATTTATTATTTATCTTGGTACGTTGAAATTATAATTGAAAAATTTTACATGCTTTGTTTTACCAAATTACTTATTTTGTATTTGTATTGCATTATACTACTTATACAATAAAATATATGGTTAATAAAATCTGTAAAATAACAAGTGTATCGGAATAATTAAGTTATTTATTTGTAACCCTTGGATCGTAAAAAATTTTATTAATTTAATTTTTTAGTTTAAATTATAAATTTTATTAAAATAAGAGTCAAAATTAATTTTATCCCTGTACGCGAGAGACAAAAACTATAGAAGTCGCACACTAAAAATTTCAATTAACGCCGTTTACGATTATTGAAAAGATTTTTCATTTTTATTTCAAAACGAGAACACTTTGGCCGTTTTTATTTTTATATTTTGCAATATTTTATAGTTGTGAACCCCACAAACTGAGCCAGTACATCATTAAGAAAAAATATATTTGAAAAAAAAAAAAAAAAAAAAAAAATGAATAAGAAAGACGCCAAGCATTGAGATAGTATCGGTGCTTCGTTGTGCACAATAAAAAAGCGGAGCCAAGCTCTTGGGCGAACAATAATCGTCAACAAGAGCGGGGATCGAGCGCACAACGTCCGAGTCTTATATCGACACCATCGCCTGGCTGCTCTCTCTCTCTCTCTCGTCTTTCGTCTCCCAAAGTCCCAACGGCAGTACACCGTCAACTTTCGTTACGCGCGTCCTCTCACATCCACTATACACTGCACTTGTATACAACTAACAAGCTTATTTTTGACTCCGCACCACAAGGTAATGTAAATCTTAGGTTGGTTTTATACCGTCAATTTTAACACATATATTTTTAGTTTGCTAATAATTATTATGTATATTTAGAAAAACAAAAGCAACGTTGATTTATTCAGCGCATGTATTTACTTTCCGAGGCAATTCGCTTTGTTTATACTATTGAATATTAATAACAGTATTGATGAATTTACATAAACCTTCTAGTAAATTATAAATTTAGCAATAAATGATACTTAAACGTAGTTTTTGGCTATAAATTTTCTTCAGCATTTATATTATTTATTTATTTAGTCAACGCATGTGCTAATAATACTACATATCATTCAAAATATAAAATATCTTCAGTTTCATTCATTTCAACTCGATTTATGTGCGTCCCATACGAGATTTGTTTAGCTCAAGCTAGAGAATTCTCAGATATATACTTATACGAACTATTTGGTTAACGTAACAACTCTCGAGCTGACCGTTTTATCTTAGAGCGCGTTTCTTTCTATTTTGATAAGACAAATAAGTAAACTATGAATAGAAATCTACTTTCAACGTATTCTTATTGTAAGCTCAAATTTTTTGTGTTACAATATCGAAGATAGAACAAAAAAAAAGATATAGGTACCCAAAGTAAAGAATATACCATCGACAAATTAAATATTTAAAAAAACTATTATGAGCAAATTCTTCGATCCCACCTTGTTTGCACTTTTGTTATAATTTTTTCAAATAAACGATTATAGCGCACGACAATTCATTTAAATGTATGCGAAACACAACGTGTAATTACGCTATCAAACAGCAAACGTTTTCATGCACAGTCGTATGGGCAGCCTCGCATAATAACGATCCCGTAACGATACTCGAGTATAAAGTAATTGAATGATGAAATAACGGCTCGACAGAATAAACAAAGAAAAGAAAAAGAAAAGAAAAGAAAAGCGTAAAGATGCAAGGAGGCGTGTCTTCCTTGTTGGTCGGACTGTTGCTGGCCATCAGTCGAGTTAATGGCGAGTGGCACGAGGATACGGGGCCTTGGGTCATTGCCACGAGAGGCGAGCCTTGGCCTTTACCTTCGTCGAGGCTGCTGTTCACCGACTATTACAGTCTCGACGCTGCTACCTTCAAATTCAAGGTATGTGCGTTTTGTTATCTCTTTATGTTCCTTGTTTTAGTTTTTCATTTCTTTTTTTAACAATTTTTTCTTTTTCCCCCTTTGTGTATTTTAAACACAATAATAATTGTGTCAATTGTTATTTCTATGGATGCGCACGATTACTTCTCACCAAAACCTGAGAGATCGATAAAAAAATCCAAGTAATCGGTCATTCGGATATAATTTTTGTTAATCGTTTGTTTTTTTCAATTTTTACGATGTATTGTTTGAGAAGCAAAACAATACTATTGCCCTTTCGAAAACTTTCTCCGATATCCGCACTGATATTTGTGCAAATCGACAAGATTATCTTATCACTCATCTGCAGATACGAGAGATCAATCGAAAAAGACAACGTAATCGATTGTTACATCTTGTATTGTTGCTTGTAATTTTTTTTTTCCATACCACGCAATAATGACCCTCTCGTACCAATAACAGTTACTCTAATCTTATCGGTAACATGGATATTGCCACTCGATACCCTGCACTTACCCTATACAACGTGTGGATTTTTCTTTTTCTTTTATAACACGAGCATCCCTCTCTAACACGTTTTACAGGTCGTACAGGAAAATTGTGACGTGATCGAGGAGGCGGTGAAACGTTACCAGAACATCATAAAGCACGAGTCCCACTTGGCTGAGAAATACAGCAAATATGCGGACAACAGCGTCCCGGTCGCCAGCAGATCCGTCTCAGCTCTGGAAATTCGTCTGGGCCAACCTTGCGAGCAATACCCGAATCTTGGATCCGACGAATCTTGTTAGAGCGCCTCACATTACTACCTCCGTTTATGGCTTTGTCCTCTAAAAAAAAAAAAAAAAAAAAAAATCCTTTTTTCAGACGACTTGAACGTTCCCAAAGGTTTGAACGGCACCACGGTAACTCTGAACTCCAACTCCGTGTGGGGCATACTGCGGGGCCTCGAGACCTTCTCGCAACTCCTTGTCCACTCGAACAACGGAGCCGAAGTACGTATCGACAACGCATGAAGTAACTTAGCCAATAAAGTCTCGGGTGGAAATTTTCACGCTTGAAAAAATGTATCAGCTCGTGGTGAGGGGCCAGTCGATCTCGGACAAGCCAAGGTTCGGCCATCGGGGCCTACTGCTCGACACGTCGCGGCACTACCTGCCCCTCGGGGACATCCTCGAGACCCTCGAGGCCATGTCGTACAACAAACTGAACGTACTGCACTGGCACATCGTCGACGACAACAGTTTCCCCTACGTCAGCACATCGTTCCCCGATCTGTCGGCCAAGGGGGCTTACCACCCTACCATGGTATACACGCCCGAGGACGTGAAAATGGTGGTGGAGCACGCGAGGACCAGGGGTATACGCGTCGTGCCCGAATTCGACACTCCCGGCCACACAAAGTCCTGGGGCTCCGCGTATCCCCAATACCTCACGGCTTGTTACGACGGTGGGTTCATTGTTGGCCTTACCCTATACTGTTCTCAACCCCCCCCCCCCCCCTATATACTTACCGGGCGTTTTTATGCGTACATATATTATACAGCCAACGGCAAGCCATCGGGGAAACTTGGGCCGATGAATCCGCTGAACGAGCAACTGTACGACTTCATGAGGACCCTACTGAGGGAAGTGGCCTCGAGTTTTCCGGACAAGTACGTTCATCTTGGCGGTGACGAGGTCCTGTTCAACTGTTGGATGAGCAACCCCGAGATCAGTAGGTACATGGAGCGCAACAACATGACCACCAATTATCAAAAGCTCGAGGAGATGTTCGTGAAGCGGGTCCTAGACATCGTGGCCGATCTCGAGGGCAAGGCCATCGTGTGGCAGGAGGTTTTCGACAATGGGCTGAAGTTGCGCGAAGGCACGGTCGTCCAAGTGTGGACCGGGTCTTGGAGCAGGGAGATGTTCGACGTGACCGATGCCGGTTACCCGGCCCTGCTGTCCACTTGTTGGTACCTGGACCACGTCGCCGGAGGTGGCGATTGGTTGAAGTACTACAGGTGCGAGCCTCTCGCCTTTGGCGGCTCGGAGAAACAGAGGAACCTGGTTATGGGCGGTGAAGCCGCCATGTGGGGGGAATTTGTTGACAAGTGAGTGCACGGGGTTCTATCTTTTGTTTCCCCCCCATACCATTCACGCTCGAGCGAAACGTCTCTGGTTTCCCGCAGGAACAACGTTCATTCGAGAATTTGGCCGAGGGCGTCGGCCGTGGCGGAGATTTTGTGGAGCCCTGGCGCCCAAAACGAGACGGAGGCCGCCGAGCGTCTGGAGGAGCACGCGTGTCGGATGAACAGGCGCGGGATACCGGCCCAACCGCCGAACGGCTCTGGTTTTTGCTTGTCATGAATCGGGTGAGGAAAAAGAGGCTGAAAATTTTCATTCGTTTTCAAACGAATGTGCAAAATCAAAGGTTTCAACGAGTTGACTTTGATTATTAATTTCATGAATATATATTTATATACACGTTTGTCGAGAAGAAAGAATGAAAGAACCGCTTTCTCATGTTTCCAATAGATTTTACTTTTACACATCAACTTAGAAGTAATCTACCCTAATAAGTCTGTGTATGGAACAAAAGAAAATTTTAATTTTTGGATTAAATCAAAGATTAACGTTTTATGCATTTTTTCTTCCATAACTGCTTGTGGCCCATCATCAATATATTACAATCACAAAAATTATTTTNAAATATATTTTAAAATATTATTAATCGTTCAACTGATGTGTATCGTAAATATAACGAAAGTGCAATCGTATATATTAACTAATCATTTCCAAGACCCAACTCATTTGTATTCCTTGTCCTTTTTTTTTATTAATACCTATGTATGTACAAGCCGATCGCTCGTTCTTGCTTTTGCTCATCTTTTTGTTTTTGATTATAATTTGACATTTCTTGTAGAGCAGAAAACACAGCTCTATGTTTATAAATGAAAAGAAATATTTCTTGTAATTTTCATCCAACATCTAGTAATAATGCACATGAATAAAAAGTAAGAGATCACAAAGAAATATTGCTTTATGCAACTGCACTCAAGATCAAAGATTAATTTTGTCAGGTGTTTTTAAACTCATACGTTGAAATGTGTACAAATTTGTTGAAATTTTTTATTTTTCGTCGATATACAAAGAGATTTGCAATTTTTGCGATCGCCAGCCGAACACTTTTGTTCACTGGATGTAATGTTTATTTGCCTTTCTTTTTTTTTTCTTTTTTTTTTTTTTTTTTTTTTTTTGTCAACTACGATAGAGCCTGCTATGTCTAATAAGACGTACGAAAGAGTGGTACACAATAATACATTCTAATGTTTATTATCATAATATATCTCAGTTTCTGTTGGAAGTTACCTTAGTTTAAATCTTAATAACATCATCAGAATAAGTTATACTAGAACAATTCGGCCATCAGCGACCTGTCCTTGGCCAGTTCGGGAAACTCTTTGGAAATCACAAGTTTCGTCAGGCATGATCTTGAAAATAAGATAGCTCGTTCGAGCAGCACCTTGCAGTTATGTTTCTTGGAGAATAACAAATTTCTTCCAATATTCTCTTCGTTGATGTCATCCAACACAAGGACCTCGCACGCGCTAATGAGCTCTTTTACGTCGAATTTATCTCCGAGCATCATCAATTCAAACGCCAATTCCTTTATATCTTCAATTGTTTTGACTCCGTAAATGTACTCCAAGAATGCTTCGAACGCCTCGAACGTGATGTTTTTGTTGGACCAATCCAATACTTGGACTTTTGATTCGCTGGTGCTATTGCTGAACATTCCCAAAAAGTAGTTGCTAACACCCATTAGGACGAGTTTGTGGACTTCTATGATTTCACTGTTACCGTCACAGTTTTTTAAAATGAACTGAACGTCGCAAAACTCTCCCGTCATCCAAAATTTATCAAAATTCTTAACCATGGATAAGCGCTTTGTTACAGGAATTTCAAACTTTTCCGAATGGACTTTGCGTACGTCTTCGATCTCGCACACAATGTCCAGATCATCCCTTCTAGTCAAATATTCGGTCATCGCCTCGGATGTAATTTCCAAAAGACAAATGGTTCTATTTTCTTCATTATTGGCATTAACTGATATTTTATTTCCTTCGATACCTGGATGGACCGATGCCTTTATGATCAAGTTCATATAATTTTGATCACACTCGTTCAATACGATGGACAATGTGTAGTGGGTAGGTAATTTTGTTTTCATTTTTATTGATTTTGAATTCCATGGAACAGATTTGCGTTGACTGCGTAAGCGTATAAACGTTAGAGGTAAATGTTTGCTCTTGTAGACACTGGAGAGTTGAGAACATCTTTAACGTCCAAGTTATTTTGTTATAATGCACAATCGGTGTTGTGATTAGATTTTTTTCTGACACTGTCGCTGGCATGGTTATTTATTTATTCAACGGGACGTTGTTTGAAAAAAAAAATTTTAAACCATTTTTGAGTGTTCAGTTTACTTTATTTACTTATTTATATTCTTATTTGTTTTCAAACTATTCTTCCGTGCGTTTGATTTTAATATACAATTATTTAAAAATTAAAACAAAACATGTATTCTTTTAGACCTTCCGGGATAGAATCTTCTGGAAATAGGGAAATTTTTTATTACAAATATACATCTTAATTTATGATGAAAAATGTACTTAACTCTGCCATGTTAATTTTTATTTTTTTTTTTTAGTTAATTTTTATTGGTAGAGTATACTCGAAAACGTTAACGAAATTTATATAATTTTGAACATAGTTATGAAATCTATTTGTTTATTTTTACGCCGCGTAAAAGCCAACCGCTAACCAAAGCCAAGTTCTCAATAAAATAGCATTTAGCGGTAATATTGTAATAACTGAATTTTCAATATTATTTATATTTAATTCGTTGGTTAAATTTACATTTTTGAAATAAATAAGTGCAAGAAAAAAGTCTTGTGCAAAAAAAAATATGTATTTTACAAAATGTTTCACTGTACAAACTTAGATGTAAGAAAATTTTCAATTAAAATACGTATCTACCTAACTGTAAATAAAATAAGTATATAAACTTACGTGTGCGGAGATGGATGTTGTTTTTCGAGAAAACAGGTAGCTTTGTACTGTGAAAGGATCGATGGCTACTGGCACAATGAGCTTTCTCCTTTGTTTTTCTTTAGCGCAAGTGATAGGAAAACTCTAGACAAGTATGTGCGAGGTAGACACACCAACTTAGACGGTAGTTGTGCATATGTATAAACACCACAGCGACCCAAGGGCTAAGGTAGTCATTGGTCGTGATACCATTTGTATTTCTAAATTCACCTTGTCATTGCCAACTTAAATAAAATTGTTGTGATTTTTATTCTTGTAAAGAGAGTCGCCAGTTGATGAAATATTCCTGTTATGGATCTATTTCTCAGTTTTTTGGGACTTAAAGTTTTTTTAGTATTTTTTATTTTATTTATTTATTTTTTTTAATACATCTTTAAAAATATTTATCAGGTTACGGGCTTTTCTGGGTACCTTTAACTAACTGTTTCGTCTCTATTCGGAGATGATTTCTTCATCAGCTCTGAAGTTGGTACCTACCCCCATCTCTTCTAAACAAACCGGTATATTTATGTTGTGTAAACATCGTCTCGTTGATAAATACCTTTTGTAAATGTGTAGTGCGTCTTCATTCTCAATTTCATCATAAATAATCATTAATGATCATTTTATGATTGTCTGTACAAAATGAAAATTTCAATAATTAGGATATTTTTGGAATAAATATTGATGGAAAAATTATTTAAAAAATTCATTCGAGTAATGTGAAAAATGAGAAAAACAATTTCAATATATTTTTTTTTATTT